ATCATTAACATAAAATCCTTTCTCCATTACTTTAGAAATAAAAGCATCTTTTCCAAAATAAAAGTGTAATTGTTTTTTTATTATCCTGTTACTGCCTGTGGCACTTGCCTGAATATGCACGGAAATCATTTTGCTTGCTTGCCTGCTTGCTCGCGCTTTTCTTATAAATGGGGCAGAAGGCTGGATCAATGGAAGGTGGGCTGCCTCCCAAAATGGCACTCCCATTTCAAGGCCTCCCCGACACCTTCTCCATACAGGGCTGGAACTAACACCCCATGCTATGATCCCATAATGACGGTTGCTTTCCAGCAGCAGCAGCTCATGGTGTGGAACACAGAGATGCAACATGCAGCAACACCGAAGCTGCCTCGGAAGGTTGGTCCTAGGAGCCCAGTGTGGCCGATGCTGACCAGCAGCAGCCCACCAGTGTGCAGCAAAACATTTTACCGACCGACCTGGTGGTGCTGGAGCTTGAACCTTTGACGTTCTGCTTGCAAAGCAGGTGTCCTGCATGTGAATGTTGGGGAAACATAGAAGGAGCCAGAAGGGGTCTCCCAGGCCATCTAGCCTGACCCCCAGCTTCAGCTGGCTCTGATCATGACATGCCTACCAGGTGCATGTCCAGCCTGTCCTAGAACACTCTCACCAATGGGGCTTCAGCCACCTCCTGTGGAAGCCTATTGTCCTGTCAGAAAACCTCACTGGATTCCAATGAATTCAGATTCTTATGAATCCAGCTCATGCATTCTGTCTTTTGCTGCATCACAAAGATTCCACAGACTTGCAATTTTGTTGAAATGGTAAATTTACTGTAATTTAGTGATAAAAATGCAAAAGAAAAATCCAGCAAAAATGTGTACTCCCTAATAAAGAGTGAAAATGCACATATTTATATATTTTATTTTAAACTTGCATATTTTTCAATTTCTATCTATCTGTGCACATATTTATATAGTTGCATTTTGGCAGGAATTGAATATTTCCATAAATACAGATTTGCACACATGCAAAGGCAATGCATATGAATGTATTTGCACAGAATCAAATTCCATCAATGAGCAGACAATGCAACCCACGGTTCCTGGCACTCTATAAAAGTCAGAGGGCACTTTCGCAACCAAGTCACTGCATCCCTGGGCTGCTGCCCAGCTACGCCCCCCCCCCCCCCCCACAACAAGGTTGCAATGTGGAGAATCTATTTCTGGATGTCACAAGAGATAAAGGACTTCCACGGGAAACGGCTGCCCCGTGTCACTTCTCCTTCTTCTGCATAACATCGGGCTTCCAAGGTTCAGTGTCGCCAAGCTGCATTTCTGTGTCTTGTACTGCATGGTTAGCTACGCTTCTGCTTCTCCGGAACACCATCGTAATGGCACCCGAATGCCACATACATACAATGGAGGGGGAGAACTTTGAGAGGGTCCGTTGCATGATGACAAGGTGCATGCTTTGCATACTACAGTGCAGGTTTCTGCCCCTGGTTTCTCCAGGTGGAGGTAGACAAGAGTCGTGCCTGAACTCCTGGGCAGGACTGGCCAGGACTGATCCTACTGAGTCCAAAGAAAGCAACTGGCCAGCTCTGTTCCTCTGGGTCCCTTCCTCTTAAACTTCTTTGAGGGACTTTTTCTAATCAAACATTTCTAATAACGATGATGCTTTAGATTTCTCTCCATTTGTTGAGGAACACTACATAAAATAAAGGTAACCGTCACTGCCTATTTCATTAGCACATTTCTCAGGAAGATTCAGTATTAAATACAACATAGAATGATGTGATGGGAGCTTTATTTCATCCAATTACTAAGGAGAGAAATGGAATAAAGGAAATATATAAATTTCGTTTCCTGTCCTCCTTTCTCAGCTGGATGGAGTTGGGTCCACCCTCGTGGGTGGGCACGGGGGGAGGGGGGACAACTGGTGCTGCTTTGGGGCCAGGCCGTGGGAATGACAGATGTTGCCTAATTGGTCTGCAAATTTGAGCTGACATTGGACCGGAGGTCTGAGAAAGGTGCACCCCTCCACCGACCTTCCCTGTTCCACAGTGCCTCCCGCAATCCAGAGGTCTCTGCTCCTCACCACTGTCTTGGCTGATCTCCGAGCTTGTACACCTTGGCATTGCCGCTAAGCAACCTGACCTCTTCTTCCAGTTCAGATTCAGCATCTGCATTAAGCACCTTGGAATACTGTGTTGTGCATACAACTCCACCCACATAGCTCCTCCATAAGCAGGAGCCTTCTTTCAGTGGGGTATTTGGCCACACGGAAGAGGATGCGGCAGCAATTGCACCCTCGGAGGCTCCTTCTTGTGGATGCTGCACTGTGCACGAACATGGGCAGAGGGCAGCCTTACAGGCAGATAAGCAGGGTCCCTGCCTCTCCTATCCATGACTCGGATTCGCATGAAGATGCTGCCCCGCCTTCCATCCATGGCCCCTGAAAGAGGCAGTACAGCCAGCCAAGGCTGGGGTTTCAATGCCTGTGGGGTGGTGGACCCCCTCCAGATTCGAGAGTGCGCTTTGAAAGAGCTAGCCTTTGTGCTGAACCTATTTTGGAGATAGGGCTCAGCAGCGTGGCTGGCTCTTTTAAAATTCAGACCAAAATCCAGAGTAGATACACCACTTCCCTGGCACTGGGTTCAGCACAGTACTGCTTGGACTGGCTTTTCACTGCCTGAACTGCAGTTTGGGACTATTGTTTCAGCCAGCAATGCGAAATTGCTTTTTGAATGAAGATGCAAGCTGCCCACAAGCTCCCTGATGGCACATGGAAGAAAAGGGAAGCAAGGGAAACAAAACCAAATGAAACGGGGAGGGGGGCACTTGGCTACTGAAACTCAGCAGCAAGTAGCTGCAAAGACTCAAAACTGAGCTAGTTTTCCAGCATCTCAAGTCTTTGGATGCCGCGGTCGCCACTAAAGCGCATGGCAAGCCGCTGCATGTTTTGACACTGCCACACTGCCAAATTTTAGCAGCAGTGGTGGTGCTTGCAGAAGTGCACTTCCTGACAATGTCCAGAGAAAAGATGTTGGTTCCCAGACCGCTGACATTTGCCCATCCCTGCCTTGAATGTGCAAAACGTTTCTTATAAGAACGCATTGCTGTTGAAGGTCACATCTCGATACAAAGCACTGACATGGGGGTGGGGTGGGGATTTCTTGGCCTCCACAGCCCAGCTTGCCTGAACATGGCCGCTCTCAGGAGTCTTTTGCCACCAAGTTTCATGTGCCGCTCAGGTATGTTTCCTTGTGGAAGTAGCCACCCTTAGAGGTTCCAGGGATTGTCCTCCTGGGAGCAAGCCCTGCCTCTGAAGCTGCCACCTGCCCTTAGACACCCACTGTGATCATCCCATGCTCATTCCACTGTTTCGGAATGACGGAGGAAATAAAAGCCCCAAATCCTTCCTCCTGGAGCAGTGGCTGCCGGAGGGATGCCCTCCTAGCCATAAAAACTCTTGTACTGCTGACCTCAGGATCTAACTCAGGACAACTGCTGGATGTAAAGTTCATTTTGTCAGGAGAAAAGCAAGTGAGGTTGTTTCTGTCTGTCATTAATGAAGAGACAGCCATCCGAATGTCCTGCCAGGACAGAGGCCAAGCAGACCGTTGGCAGGAATTCTGTATCAAGCCAGATGACTCTTCTTGTTGCAAAAATTCCTGTTTTAAAACCAACAAAAGCAACTGCCTCTCCTCCCCTCTCCTCTCCTCTTTAGATTTCCTTTTAAACACAAGCAGTGCTCATCTCGTGGAGGAAAGAAGGGCTCTCACTCACACCACTGCCTCCCCAGCTGGCTCCCGTGCTGGCCCTGGGCTGCCACACAGGCAGAAAGGTTCGATGGGGTAAAAGCAGCTGAGTGCTCCGGGTTCAAATGAATGTATGGCAGAGCTGACATACATCTGGAGGCGGACTCCCTGCAGACCCTCCCCACTCCTATCCCAGGCACTGGTGCAACTAATTTTGAACTCTGGACTGCATGGTCTCTCGATGGCTCTGCCTATCACATCACCTGCACAGCAGACGACTACCTTTCATCTTCTTCCACCCCAACCCTGCTATTCCATGCTCCACAACTGCTTCTATATCCTGGTAAGTTGAAGCAAAAACAACTTATTAAAAAAAAAGAAGGAACAAGAGTGTGCAGTCACTTCCGACAGTAGCACTAGGGTTGTGACGATTCTCCCCAGAATCTGGCCCTCTTTTCTCCAGACTTTTTCATGCTCACTCGCACTTAGGAAAAAGGCTGAGCCGCGAGTGCCTGCGCAACTTGGCTTGCACAGCTGGCAAGTGTCTTCCACAGCACGTGATGCACTAGCAAAGGCCACGAGGCACGAGGGGAAAGAGGGCCTGCGCTTGTGCAGCTCGTGCTGGGCTCCCTTCCTGGCAGACGGCAGGCCAGACACCGGGGAGCCGGGCCCAGGAGATGCAGCAGGTCTCCACCCTCACGCGTCCCTCGACAGCACAACCAGAACGAAGCGGCATCTGCCAGCCTATTTTCTGCTTTCCTCTGGAGGGGGTGCTGGAATTTGATCCCCAGGTCCAACCCCAGCTGCACCTGTGTTCTCTGCATGGACAACTGGAGAGGGGATGGGAGGGGCCGGGCTGCAGTGGGCGGGGCTACAGGTGCAAGTCCACAGCCTTGGGCAGATGTTGCCCCTTCACAGTGGAGCCAGAGTGCCAGTGCCAGCGTCCTGCCAGACACGAGCTCTTGGGGGGATGGAGGAGTGCTAGAGCCTCAAGGCCAGAGGCTTAGCCCTTTAAAGCTTCCCTCCAGCAGATAAGGCTGGACTCAGGGACTGCAGCAGGAGAGCTTTCAGTTTGGCCACAGACTCTCAAACGAATTTGCTCAGGAGGTGATCTGCTGGACTGCCTTTCAGTGAGGGGGGAAGCTGGGAACATCAGGTGACAGGAAGAGTTAGAGCCTAACACAGCCTTGGAAATCTAGCCAGTTCCTCCCGGCTTTGCAGTGTCTCTTGTTGTATTCTTAAGTTTTTGCTATTTTGTTACTGGAATCTCAATGTGTGATGTCAGGATTTTCAAGAAAAGTACCAGTATGTCATACTGGTTAGGATGCTAGGTGAAGTCTGGAGAAATCTGGATTGAAACAAATCTCTGCTCAGCACTGGAACATCCTGCGTGCCCCTGGGCCAGGAGATCTTTCTCTCAACCACAAGGCTGTTGCGAGGATGAAAAGTTGGACAGAAGTAGATGGATTCATGCCCCTTTTCCATGTGTTCGTTCCACGTTTCTGTCCTGTTTCTAGATCTGCAAATAAATAAATAATTTTAAAACCACATCTTTGAATTCCACTTGAAAACTGTATCTCAACATGTGCATTTTAGTAACATTTAAGCCGAGGACTGCAAAATCTGGGGATTTGCCAAGTCCAAGAGATAATTGTGTTCTGATCTGTACTTTGGTCTGAAGGGTGTGGATCAGATCCATTCTTAGAAATCACAAATGCTTCTCTCCAGTTCTTATCAGAACTCACAGATTAATAAATAATAAATAAATACTGAATTTCTCACACATTTCTATCTGTATGCATTGCCTTAAGCTCCTTGGAGGCTGGGCAGATTAATACAGGTATGCTATGAATAATATACTAAAATATTAATTTTATTATTAATCATGATTAAAATATTTTCCTGTTTTTGTGGGGAGGCCACTTCAGGGTGATGAATTAAGCATACAGAGCTGAATTCTTTTGCATGTGCAGAATGCAACCAGACATTCTTAAACATCCTAAGAGCTGACCATGATCCAGACAACCACTCTGGAGGGTAACCAGAGCATGGGCACAAATCCTCTCTGGTTACCAGCTGCTGGGCAGAAGTGTGAGCAGGTTCAGGTGTTAGCAGGTCACAGGGCAGTTCTGGGACTGTGCAGAGACTCCACCACCCATGTGCACAGCTGGACAAACCCCTCTGGAATCTCCCTCCGAGAGCCATGGACTTGCTATCGTGCTTGGCCCAGTCCTGCAAAGCAAGCCAAGACTGTAAGAAGCTTGCGAGCATTTGTGGCGCCCAGTGGTGCAGCCAGCAACCTTCCCCATCAGGAGCAGCTGGAAGAGGTGGAAAAGGGGCTCTGAGAGTGGGCATGCCAGGTGACATTCCCAGGGACCAGTCTCCTTCCCCGTTGGCTGCTGCTGTGGCGGTGCATGAGGGGAATGGGGCAGTGCTTGAGCACCTCATGGGGCTTGATTCCTGCCAGGAATCCTGTGAACTGTAGGTGTGCTCAGGAGAAACTCAGGCTCTGGGCCACAGCAAATAGGACCAGAGTCCGAGGAGCTGAGCTCAGGGCATCCAATGGATGCCCACCCCCAGACAGTCTCCCCACACATCCCTCATGATGCAACTGGTGGTTCTCCAAAGGGACCTTGTGTGCATATCAGCGCAGAGATGCCAGGGGAGCACTGGGCCGATAATCTCCCCTGCACAGAGAAGGTCTGTGCGCGTATGTTGCCCTGCGCACAATGTCTCTTCTTGTGGCTGTTGCGTGGGGAGCATGTCAGCACATGACTGACTGGCGAGGGCCCAAGGGTGTGGAAGGCAGGGCGAAGGTGCATGGCATCATTTTATGCATGCGTCGGGGAGCTAACAGGAATTGCAAGAACCTCTGAACCATGTGTCCACGAGAGCGGAAAGAGAGAATCAACCAGACCCTAGGCGTTTGCATGCGCCACTGCATGCTTCTTCCCATCACAGTGGCGCCTCGTTCTTTGAGCTTAATTGGTTTCAGGAGGCTGCTTGAACTCTGAATCGCTCCAAGTCCAAATCAGTTTCCCCCATCAGAAATAACGGAAGGTGAATTAATCTGCTCCCACACCCTAAACAATACCCAGGAAATATGGCCTCCTGAAATGAATTAAGTTTGAGGTTATATCTGAGGTGTGATCAAAAAATAAAGTGAATGTTTAAATTAAAAAAAGTACATGAAAAGACACATTGCCCCCTCAAAATACTCCCCCTCGCTTTGAACACATTTACCCCACTGTTCTTGCCACTTTCTGAAGCCGTTCTGGAAGTCCTCTTCTGATGTCCAGAATCAATTCAAGACGGATCGATTCAAGTCAAGATGAGACGGATCGATTCAAGATGAATTGATTCAGGAAACTGAGGCTTGTTTCTTCGACTTGGAGTGCAACTGATCACTTTTCACTGTGGCCTCATTTTTTTTTTACTTCGTTCGCCGTTCAAGCATCAGCCAAATTGCAGAGCAATTTTATCTTGACTCTAATATTTGAACTCTGGATTGTTTGACCTTAGGGTCACTTGAACTATGATGCACTACTGTACCTCCGTATACATGTATATGACCCAAGGGCCATTTTACCTGAATTACAAGCCATTTGAATTAGTTGAATACCCATTTTGAGGGAGGCATCCTTGTCTGAGGTTGGTCATACGAAGAAAGTCTTCTGCCTGAAAGGCTGTCAGGGAGTCTGAAATGATGTCCAGTCTGAGGTGAAGAACCAGAAGATGAGGCAGCAGAGGCCTTCTGGGCAAGAGCCCCCCATGGCTCATGCTGGCTAGAGCCTGGAGGAGCTAGGCCCAGGAGGATGTGTGGGGCAGCAGGCATGCTCACCCCAGTGCATGGGCAACTTGTGAGGCTTGCTGGTAGCATTTGCCTGGCAGCCCCCATGGGAAAGCAGATCCAAGGCCTTCTCTTCGGGACAGCACAGTGCATTGCTACTGATGGAAAGAGCATCTCTTACCCAGATTCATTTACCAAAAGCCCATCAGCAGCTCTATGCCTGCTCCTCCCAGATCCCAAGCGATAAAACGAAGACCTTGGGGGAATCTAAATCTGGGTGGGGGGCTCTTCTGACCAATCCCCTGTATTCATCTACAACTGCAAAACACACACGCTTAAAGAAAATGTGTCCACCCAATTCAAGAATTGACACACAAAGCCCTAAACGGCTCGGGGTCCCGCTATCCGAAGGACTGTCTGCACCCATATAGATCCACCTGCCCACTCAGACCAGCTCAGGAGGCCCTTCTATGAGAATCGCCCCTCAGGGAGAGGAGAGGAAAGGGTGGCAACCGGGAAAAGGGGCTCCCCATCTCTGGAACTCCCTCCCTGGGGAAATTTGCCTGGCACCATCTCTATTTTCCTTTCGGTGCCAGGCAAAGATGTATCTTTTTAGAAATGTTTTTAACATTTAGCCTGTATGTTGTAGCCCTTTTTAATTGTTTTTATAGGTGTTTAATTCTTTATGTTTTAATTGGTTTTCAATGTGTTTTTACTCTGTTAGTATGTTTTGCATTGTAAGCTGCCTAGGAAGGCCTTGGCAATTATAGGTGGCCTATAAATATAAATAAACAAACAAACAAACAAACAAACAGGGTGCCATCCTACACACGTGTATAAAGAGTCACAGCAGAGTTTTCTGCCGGAGCACAGGATGGGATTCTGCCTTTAATCTTTCTCATACATGGGTGTATTTTGTGAGCTGTTGGCATAATGAAAACTTGCGTGCCATTTAAGCAGCAAGCACTGTGAGTTCTTGTAGCTTCCACCAGTTCTTTCTCTGACACCAGCAAATGCACCACAATGAACAAAGGTAAAACAACAACAAAAAACCATTATGATAAAAATAATTCTTAAAATGACTAATACAAGTTCCCCTTGTGCAAGCAAGGGACTTCATCTGTTTTATTTAGTCATTACATTTCTATCCCACTTCTTTTCTTTTTTTTAAAGAACTCAAACATCCATCTCATCCTGCTGCTCTCAATCTTATCTCTGCAACAACAACCCTGTGAGGGAGGCTGGGCTGAGAGTCTGTGCCTGGTCCAAAGCCACCCAGTGGGCTCCGTGGCTGAGCGGGGACTGGACCAGATTGCCTGATCCTCAGACCCATGCTGTTAACCACTATCCCCTACTGGCTCTCTCCTATGAGTGATGCATGGGTTTTCTTATTCTCCCTGAGTCTGTAAACCTGGTTTGTTCAAGGATCTCAGCTGCCATAGAACCAGAAGATTCCAGCACATAAAACACTGAATGAAAAGCTACTTTGAAAGGCAAATGTTTTGGTGAATTTCAGTCAGCAGCCAGAACAAGGTTTCCGACTGGTGGCTCATGAGAACTTATGGCGTCCTTCTTGCTGTGGTCCAAGGACTGGCTCAAGCATCCCATATTTATCATGGGCGAGTGGAGAAGCCAGAGTGGGAGGTGTGTGTGGATGGGTCATGGGAAAGCATCTGAACAAGCTTATGGTCAGGAAAATGAGACACTAAAAATAAGAAGCTGAATGAAACCGCAGTCGAAAGATATGCCCATTGTTGTATAAGCATGCACAAAGCGTCCCATGTGCTTGAAGGGAACAGTGGAAAAGAGCACCTTGCACAGTATTTTCCCCCATGGAGCTCATAGTGACAGGGGAGCCCTGGGCGCACAGTGGCCCCCACCCTCAGCTGACGTGAAGGATCCCTTGATCCACCTTGCGAAGCATTCGGAGCGATGGAACGACCGCACAATCTCTTCCCTGACAGTCAGATGCAATCCAAGCTAGACATAAAAGGAGCAGTTGTATGAACCAAGGTTGTGTGAACATGCAGCATGCGAACCACCAGGGTCTTCTCCATCACGAACCTTTTATCACACAGCTAATTATGCTGAGCAGCAGGTAAACCTCGTGCACCTGTGTGCACGGCGACTGTCACGCATTCCTAACAGACTCGGTGCTCAGATCCCAAATAATCTCAAAATGCTTTCCCAGGCTGCTTAAAAGTGGCACAAGCAGACTATTCTAAGCACTAAGGAGAATAGGTTGCGTTATCTGATGCTGTAGTCAGTCCCCCGGCCCAGATTAATTGTGTCAGCTCCCTCCTCTATCTCCTCCCGATCTGCTCTAACAGATTTGATATGGATTTGCTGTTGGACCTAGGAATGATCATTTGACATTTGTTCCACAATAAACACCACGTTTTAATTTGCATTCTATAACTCATGCAAATATTCAGGATGTAAATGAAAACAAAACGTCAGTAGGAGTGCCCGCATTTCGGTTTTAAATCTTTATTTTAGTTCCTTTCCCCTGGAATTGTTTATCCTTTTCACTCTTACTGTATCCATTAGAGCTTTAGAATAGAAACAAGAAAGAAAAGCACACCAGCAAAATTTTACATTAAAATTAGCAAAAAGCGGATGGATGGATAAATTCTGTGAGACCATCATTTTCTCTGCCATCACATCTGATTTGCTGATTGGCAGAATGGCAATTTTCCTTTTATGGGATGCAGAACTACTGCTAACATAAACATTCCGGTTTTTTTCCCCTGAAACCCAAAATACTTCAGGAATGCTTCTTATGTATTAGCAACATCACAATGAGACTCAAGAATTCTAATTTGACGTTATGACCAAACAAGCAGCTTAATGACGCTCAGTTGTATTCTTGTTTTGCAAGAAGAAGAAATAGAGCTAGGACATTTCAAAACTCAAAGCATGATTCAAAAATGAGATCCATTCACTATGTATTGGAATTCTCATTATGATAACATTGGATTAGAAATGCCTGTCTTTTTGAAATGATCCCTTATTTGCTAAAATAAAAAATAAAAAGAAATCAATTAATATGAGTTCCCTAATACTAAATGGTAAACAGAGACATGTTACATGTGAAAAAAAATGATTGTGGTATCTTTAAGGTTTTTTTAAAAAAAGCACAGAATTTCTGAATGAAATGCATGATGTTAAATGAATAATTAATCTGTATAAACTCCTAGACATGGGAATCTAGTCTATTTTAAAAGGAACAAAGGCTAAAATTAAAGGGTAAATTACCTCCCAAAATTATTTGAGGGGAAGGGGACTCTATGCAGAACTTTTGAAATGGATTTGAAAGAAGGGAAACAACAACAACAACGAGGAAGGAAGACAGAACATTGGAGAGCAGGCAGAGTGGATTTTGATGTTCCGGCTGGATTTTAAAAGATTTGTTGGAGCCTGGAAAAGAGGAGCTGCAGAACTTCCAACTGATGAGAAAGCCATAATCAGATAAATTAATTATAACAAACTCAAGGAAATCCAGGAATTGCAGTAATAGCAATGATGCTGATGGCTAACAACAACACACTTACCCCTCCAGTTTTCCAGATATATGAACTGGGTGTTCCTTTTATAAAGTGGGATATAGCTTAACAAAGAGAGGAACAACAGTATGTACCACAAAAGTCTTTGTTTCTGATTTCAAGTTTGTATCTGATCCAAGAATAACCAGCTACCACTGTAAACACAAAAGGAAGAAATTTGGAAGAAACGTACATTGAAATGGGCTTCTGTGATGTAGCCAGAAGGATATGAAGAAATGCATGCAGCCACTGATGTGACCTTGATGCCTACAAAGGTGGACTGTTCCACCTGCCAAGAGCTGGTCAGTGCTTCAGTCATCTTCCAGAAGGCAGGCCTGGAGGCCAGATACAGTCCCACCCCCAGTCTCCCCGAACCAGAGAAGCTGCTGCTTTGATCAGTATTCCTTAGCCTGGTGCTGTAACAGGATACCCTGCTGTTTGCATGCACACCTGATTCCTTCTTTTGCTTACCCACCCCATTCCTATAGTGCCAGATAGTCAAAGAGCTATTTTGCAGAAGCTGCGACTTCTGAGCAGACTTCAAGGGCAGCTCCATGCGGCTGGATTCAGCGGGCAGAATTTCATTCCAATGTATACTAGTAGTTTATTTTCATAGAATCTTCAACCCCTAACTATAAAGGGAAAAACCGGGGAAAACAATGTACATATTATACGTCTGTGTCACATCATGAGAAACAAAGGCAGTCGGGCACTCCCTCTGGCTGGGGTGGGCAGCAGGTGCACCTTGATCTCAGGATGATTTGAAATAGTTCGGCAGTGATTCCTGACTCCCAGTTATCCAACCATGGCAGCAACAACAATACACCTCCCCCCGCCCATGCGGGTTGCATGCGGAATTTATTTCAGTATTTGCAATGCAATTCACACACTAAGAAACATTTGTGTTCAGCTGCATGTGTACATTTCAAGATGAGCACATTTCACACTGCAAGTATTTCAAAGTGGGTATTCTCAAAATTGCAGAAATACACCTTTATTATGGGGGAAGAATGTATAGATTTGGAAAAATATGCACAGATTGTCATGCAGAAGAGGAAAAAAATCCCACAACTTACATTTTGATATAGACGCAGATTGGAATGAGCTTGCGGACCCACTCAGAGAACTCCAGAAAGCTCGGATTTTGCTGACTTGCACATCGCTAGCACCCACCCGAAATTGCACACTGAAACGAAGAAAGTTTGGAATAGTGTGGTTTGTTTTGTGTGTGGAAAGACCATGAGCTACTCAAAATCATTTCCTGGGCTCCGAATTCTTTCAGCCATAAATGCATGCCTTTAACCAGAGGCTACAATTGACAGGTCTGTGTCAGACAGCAACCTCAAACAATTAGAGCAAAACGGGTCGGTGGGGTGAGGGGGCAGTTAGGGCCAGCATTAAGGATAGGCAGGCTGGAACCCCTGTTAAGAGCCACATCTCGGCAGGTACCCCCTGGCTCGCTGGACGTGCACCTGCTCCGCCTTGCAACAGCACTGGTGAGATGCAGGAGATGGTCACAGCCTCTCTGCTTAGCAAGCAAGCAAGCAAGCAAGGGGTGCCAGTGCTGAGAAAGAGGGGATGAGCAGCAGCAGCCAGTGACAATAGCGGTGGCAGCCAGGCCTCCGGGGATGTGGCATTGCCTGACGGGGCATGCACCCCCATCCTTGGGAGTGACACTCTTTTGGCCCAGTGCTACATTTGCTGGCATGTCTAACGGCATGGACCCCAGTCCAGGTAGAGTTGGCCACCATCAGTTGTGTGCGACTAACAGTTTTGGGTGGCTTGTGTCCCCTTGGATCAGAGGAGACACCCTTGCGGCACAGAGGAACCCGGACAAGTACTGAAGTGCAGCTGCTTTTGCATATGCATCTCTTTGATGGATCCAGGTGAGGATGCATCAGTGTCTTTAAATCTTCCCCACCGAGGGTCCAGTTTTCCTACCAGAGCAAGCTGCTGAAGTGCTGAGAGGGGCCCACTCAAAGCAGAAGGCAAGTTCCATGCAGATGCAGAAACCGTCATGCCTCCTGGGCTTGCTTAGGGCCTGGCCACTGCAGACGGCACAGGCACCCTCGCCACCATGCCGGAGCCTGCCGTGAGAATCAGCTCTAAGCCGGAAAAGCCAGGAACCCACCCAGCAGAACTGCATCAGTTCTGAGAATTTCACATGGTTGTTAAATGGATAGGCTGTGATCCATCACATTATAATGCGTGCTTGATTTTTATTGATTTCAATGGGGTTTGGGCATGCATAACTGTGCATTGGATTGAAGCCACTGTGATTAAATAAAGGGATGGACATAGGGACCGAGCATGATTTCCATCCAATTTGTTATTGCAGCTGCATTTGGGCCTAATTTGCTAGACTCAGACCGAGCTTCCAATTTATCCCAACAGGAAACAGAATTATCAACAAAATAAAGAGTCAGATTATAGCTCCAGATAAGGCAGTGCATATAAGAAATTAGGAAAGAGAAATCACGAAGAATATCTAACTACTCTCTCCTCTTGCCCCATGGTTCTTGTTTCTGGAATAAACCTGGGCATTCCTATTTATTAAAGATAAACAGAAGGATTGACAGGGAAAATTAATTTCATACATACAAATTAGCTCAGCTATTCTTTCCATTTACCACACTCACACACCGCTGCCTAGATCGCTGTTGTATGCCTTCCTGCCACCAGCAAACAAGAATTTATTGGACATATGCTTGTGTTCCACTTAAAAAAATAATACGCCAATATTTTCCAGATCAACTTTGTTAGTAATTCATGAAGTGACTATTTATGCTAATCAGGCAGAAATATGTTTGCAGGCCTAATGCATTACATAAATTTGAATGCAAAATGTTCAATTATGAATAAAATACAGGTAATACAAATAGCAAATAACATCCAATAAAAATTATGATTAATGGACGTTCAAAGAGAGAGAGGCTTTTCCTGGGCATCTGCGAGGTGTTTAAAGAGAAAAGGATTAATAAATACTGAATTACAGGGATGATTATTCCATCATAATTCACCCATTTGTAATAGCGTCTAGTTATCAAGGCTGCTGCTTCATAGCCAAGGATGTGAAGTAGGACTTGTTTCCTCAGCAATTTTACCCCTATCAGATTATCTCGTCTGATTCTATTATTTCTTCCCCATAAATCTGCTAACAGTGATTTGTTATTTGCTTGCCCTGTTAACGGATCTGAAGCAGTGTTAAAAGGATTTATCTACCTCTGTGCCTAAGAGCAGTTGATGTCTTCGCCTTTTGTTACCCCACGGAAGTCTTTGGGAAATCAATTTGGTTGCTTTTCATACTTAAATTCAGCGGACCCCATTCAGTTCTGCACCATAAAATAAGACACTGGATAAACAAAAGGTGCAGCAACTGTACTTAATGTGTTGGCCTTGATAGATGAGTTTGTTTAAGTCATACAAATGACATTCAAAGTCAATATAACTCACGAGAGGGGCACTGCCTGCGTTCCAAATGTCCCCCTGCCTGTTTGCTCAGCTAGAGAAGTCTTTCAGACGTACTTGAGGCCATTTTTCCTGACACCATGTAATACTGGGGTGGGAATGCTGGAGAGGCTGCACTGTCCACGGAACTAATCTTACTTTTTTGCAGAACACACACACACACACACACATGGGGCGGGGGGAGGGAGAGAGATCAGTTTAGGAATGTGAAAATAACTGAAGACCACAGTTCCAAACCATGTTTCCTTCAAGAGGAAGGGACAAGCCGTCCTGAGGCTTGGTGCAAAGGACGGGATAGAAATACTTTAATTAAATTAAAATTAAATTAAGAGGAGAGTTCTTGAAAAACGAACTCTGATTAAAGCAGGGCTTAAAGACTGTGGGGGAATAGACGGACTTTGAGAAAACAGAAGGAGGGGAGCAGGCTGGTGGAATTTGGCCTGTGATCGCTGCAGAGAGACAGAGGGTTGAATGCCTCTAATTGAAATGAAAGTATGCAATTGTTAGAGAAGCAGTCCTAACAGAGGACAGCAAATGTTTAGACACCCGTTGTGAGAAGATAAATGATACAGAAAAATGCTGCCGAAATGAATTCAAAAATGCATGTTTTAGAGGAAAGAGGAAGGTGATGATATTCCTTCAGAAAGTTATCGTTAAAATCACCCTCCTCATCTCTCAGCCCCGCTCTTCTCTCTTGATGTGCTACAAAATAGACAACATTTGACAGTCCCGTCACTTCCAATAGTCAAATAAGGATAATCCAGTACAATCCATGACTTGATATTTGGGGGACCTGAGACCCACTGCGTTTACAGCACATCTTTCCACTGCATCAGCTCAGATCTGCTATCCACACATTATTTAGCATTCCCTCTCTCGTTATCCTTTAAACCTTTCTGATGGAGTGGCAGGGAGAGTACTAATTTTGGAAATGTAACATGTTTAAATGCTTCGGTCCAAAGACTGTGCTTTTTGGAAGGACAAAGGAGATGTTTCTAATTCAGTGAAATTGCTACATGTGTAGATTCCAAGGAACAGTGACTTTTCATTTAAAAACTGTTCACACATGCCTGTGACTCGTGGAAGCAAGAAAACTAAATGATCTATGGTGCCACATTCATCATACTGCAAAATAAACCAAATAGAAGGAATTAGGCTGGCATGGTTGTGAGATTTATGGAGAGGAGTGAGCGGCTTTTGTTGACTTTTCCTCCTGAGTCCCCAAATAGGAAATCAAACATCAGATTAACTATCTAGTACTGTTTTCCTAATCATCACTCCATTTTAAGTTTTGCCAGTAAAGCAGCCTGGGTAATCTGTACTCACATCCTTTCTAATTTTTTCTGTGCCAGTGTGTTACCCACCTTGGCATCCTGTTTAACGGGTTGTGGACGGAACAGGTGACACAACAAAATATTGTGAATTCCAAGGGTAAAGACTGGGAAATGTCATGTTGTGTGTTTTCTTTACCCACCTGACGTCTGGTAGCACTTGGAAACTCTTTCCAAACAACTGCTTTAAGGACCTGGATTTTTTATCAGAAATGCCAGAGCAGGCCAGAACCAAAACTCTCAAGTACAATGTTCAAAAGACTGGCTTAATGTATGACTAAGTGTCAGGGTTGCTGAGCATTACTTTTCAGATAAACAACTTTATAGCACTGCACTTAATCTTACTTACTAGAGACATCTCATTTATTACCAAATTACAAGTAACTTTAATTCTATTGATGTTCCTATAAAATCAGTTGAAAATCAAGTCTGGCAGTTTTAAAGATTTTGTCTTATGACTCTCTCTCTCTCTCTTATTCTCTTTCTCCTGGTAGTTAAGGGGAACATCCTTCCTTCCCCCTCAGTTTTTACAAATACACTGCAGGCTGCATCCTAAATTCAGAGGTTAAACACACTGCACCATAGAGGTAAGAAGGACTGAGAAATACAGCAGGTATAATTGCACCTCACCAAGACATAGAACAGTTTGCAGAACCACAAACATTCCTCCGGCTTTAGGGAGTCAATGTCAAGCTGATGTACAAATGCTGCTGACTGTCTGCCCTTTTCTTTCCTTTTTACACTTTTCAGTTTGAATGCCCCCCCCCCCTCGTTTAGCAAATTTGGAACGATTTAAGACGAAACTGTCCAGCGCCGAAAGGTGGCGCTGTCGGGGTTTAAACTGAACACAGAGACATGGGTTTGTATTTTTTTAAACTCCGTTCCCCTTTCCACTATTCTTTTTAAAACAACATCCCACCGCCGCGCCCCGTGCGCGCAAGCCCCCTTTCCTCCACGCAGAGGCAGAAAGCGATGCACGTGACTGCTTTTTAAAGTATTAAAGTAGCTGAGTAGATCTCCGCAAAGATTTTAACAGGATCGGAATAACAGAATTTGTCTCCTGAAGCCTGCATGTGGGTTGTTTAGGTGGCCGCTTAGTTAAATTTCCCGAAACGCAGCCTCTTTCTAAAACTTGGAAAAGTTATCTTCGTCTTTTAGACAAAACTTTAATAGCAATTGGTTGTGGGGAGGGGGAGAAAAACACTGCAGCCAGCAATTAGCAACTTTTCTTAACTTCTTGACCTCTGGCAGATCCATTGATTGGAGGTGGGAGGCGAGACCACGTCTCGAAATATAACTTTGACACGGAGGCGCGACTCCCTCGTCCAGAGAAATCAGATGATCCTTTGACACGGGAGCAAAGGCCAGAGTGTGACTGAAATGGCAAGAGGAACGTCTTGGACTTGCTCCCCTTGGGAATTGGGTGGATGGCAGAAGAAAGCTTTCTCGGTTAACTCTTCCTAAGCCCGCGCATCCTCCAAAGTTGCTGCCGCGATTTGGGCCCGCCCGCCCGCCCGGTCCTCTGTCGCTGCAGGCTGAGCGGGGCGCGGGGCCGCGCTGCGCTACCTTTAGGACGCGGGCAGGCGCCGGCGGATCGCCGCGAGCGCGCTCTCGGCCTCCTCCGCACGCGCAGCCCCGCAATCGGCTCTCCAGGATTCAGAAACCGAGTCAATGCGCCTCTCTCCCCCCCGCTCCTCCACCCTTACCCCCACACGCGCCAGCCCCTTAAGGAGGAAAGGGCCGGATCCAGAACTAGACGTTGGAACAACTCCGGGGAAAGTTCCAGGAAAAGAAATGTCCGCATTTGCACAAACACGAAAAGTTACCTCGAGGTCTATAAAGCCTCCTGACAGCCGCATGCAAAAGAGAAAGGAACGAGGGCTTCTCAGCATCCTTACCTATCGAACATCCCAATCCCGCGGGTTGTCTGAATTATGAGCCACATTTCCCTGGTTTAAATAAATAGGGTTCTGCCTGTGTGCCTTTTCTGAGTGGGAGAGCGAGAGAGAGAGAAAGCGAGAGAGCTGAGAAGAGCTGGTACCGAGTGAATCCGAGGCAACACTTTCGGTCACGAAGGAGTTAAAAAGTTCTGGTCCCAGCTGACAGTCAGCTGATTGGTTCTTGATTGACAGCTTCGAAAAGTTTCCTTGTTTCTATACTATTATGCTAATGACGGCCGAGTTCGCAGCACCGGATTGGATGCGACTCGGAGTCAATTTCCCATTTGAAAAGCTGACGTCAGGAGCGCTATAAAAATCAGCAATGCTTTTAAACTCTCCTCCTGGATGAGCTCTTTAAAATATTTTTTCATCTGGTTGCTGGAGGTTTGGAGTTGAGTTTCTTTTTTTTAATTGCCGTTCTTTGGGGTCATCGCATCGACCTCAGGGTTGCTGGATGGTTGTTGTTTGTTTTTCCTTTTCCAAGTTATCTCCTCTCTCTCTTTTTTCCGCCCCTTTCCCTGATTGTGAACCTCTCGCTCTCTTCGTTTTCGTCCCGGGCATGAAAAGAAAAAAAGGACAGAGGGAAAGAAGCACCACGAAGTGTTAAAAGAGAGAGAGAGAGAGAGAAAGAGAGAGAGAGCGAGCGCGAGCGGGAGGCAGGGAGGGAAAGAAAAAAATCCGAACAACAATTTCAAACAACAACTAAGCAATCTTTCTCCGCAAAGCTGCAGAAGGGAGAGAGAGCGCGCACGGGAGCGAGGGGGAGGGAGCGCGGGGGAGGGAGGGAGCGAGCGAGCGAGCGAGCGCGGGGGGAAAGCCCAAGAAAGCGAGCAGCCTGATGCAAAGGGCGACTAAATAGAGCGAGCGAGCGAGCGAGCGAGGGGCGGCCGCCGCGCCGCACCGCACCGCACCGCACCGGAGTTGCGCCTCGCGAGGGGAGCGCAGGAGCGGGGCTCGCCGCGGACGGCTCGGGGCCGAGCAGAGCCGAGCGGAGCGCAGCGGAGCAGAGCAGAGCGTCGCAGCGCGCGCGGGAGAGGCGAGAGACGCGCCGCGGCCGCTCGCAAGGCATCAAACTGGCTCACCCGCTCGCAGGTCAGAGCGGCCCCCTCGCTCCGGGAGCGCACCCTTTCTGGAGGACTGGCGGCGGCGGCGGCGGCGGCGGGGGCCCCAGCAAGAGGATGGCATCCGAGCTGGCCATGAACGGCTCCGACCTGCCCACCAGTCCCCTGGCCATGGAATATGTTAATGACTTCGATCTGATGAAGTTTGAAGTGAAGAAGGAGCCGGTGGAGACGGACCGCATCATCAGCCAGTGCGGCCGCCTGATCGCCGGGGGGTCGCTCTCCTCCACCCCGATGAGCACGCCGTGCAGCTCGGTGCCGCCGTCGCCCAGCTTCTCCGCGCCCAGCCCGGGCTCCGGCGGCAGCGACCAGAAGACCCCGCTGGAGGACTACTACTGGATGAGCGGCTACCCGCAGCAGCTCAACCCGGAGGCGCTGGGCTTCAGCCCCGAGGACGCCGTGGAGGCGCTCATCAGCAGCGGGCACCACCAGCTCCAGAGCGCGGCCGCGGCCGGCTTCGATGGGTACGCGCGGGGCCCGCAGCTGGGCGGCGGCGGCGGCGGCCCGGGGGGCGCGCTGCCGCCCGACGACATGGGCTCGGCGGCCGCCGTGGTGTCGGCGGTGATCGCGGCGGCGGCGGCTCAGCAGCAGCAGCAGCAGCAGCAGCAGCACGGCGGCGCGCCGCACTTCCACCACCACCACCACCCGCCCGGCCACCACCACCACCACCACCACCACGCGCAGCCCGGCGGCGCGCAGTCCTCGGCCGGCGGCGGCGGCGGCGGCGGCGGC